GGAGCTCCTCACGAAGAAGCTCAAGGCCACGCTCTCAGAGCTCTACCCGACCCACCACTTCCACGGCAACCGTGATCGTGGCGAGATCTCCACACAGTGGAAGCCGCTGGTTCGCGCCACTCCTCAGCCAGGTCAGGGCTCCGAGCCGACTCTCGAGTTCGTCCGCGCGAACTTGGCACAGCTCGGCTTCAGCGCCGACCAGATCCGCGCCAAGTTCAAGCTGCTGGCCCCGCCTGCAGAACCCGTTCAGTGGCGTGTTTAACCCGATTCTAGCCGCGTGGTGCTGACGTTCTTCCTCTCCTACTCCGATCTCTGTGGGGGCATGGAACGGGCAGGCTTTATTCCATCATAAATACCGAGTTCGGGCCAGGAAGATCAACTACATGAAGATGTTGTTGGGCAAGGGTTGGATTCTCGGGGCCCAGGAATCTCACGGGGCCCTGGACGAGCTCAGGGACCTGCTCTACCACATCCACCTCCCGACTCAGGCCTACTATTCGTTTCTGCCAGCCTCGCCGCATGCCGCGGGAGGAGTGATCGCATTCATTCCCGATTTTGATATCACGCATGCTGCAGACGACAGGCCTTTTATCTCGGAACGTAGTTTGACCCAGGGGCGTGCGTTGAATGTTCGAATTCTGTTTCCAAGCGGGGTTCTCATCTCGCACTTCAAAGTTCACAGCCGCGGATTGTCGTCTCAGCAGCGCGCCGAGATCCTAGATGCTATCGCCTCCGACCTCTCCCTGGCCTCCGCGGACACCCTCAAAATCTTCGTCATCGTTGGCGGGGACTTCAACTTCTCAGAGGACTCCTCTGTGGCGCTCGATTGCGTCGAAAATTTGGATCCTTGAGGTTTCTCGGTTCCTGTGGAGCCATCCGTGAGACCATCGCAGCGTGGGACTGGGGGCGGACGTCTGGTGTCGGACGGTCTGGCTTGGAATCGTATCTTGGGACAGATGACGGAGGTTCAGCTTCAGGAACCTACTCGTCCCCGCTCCGCGCAGGGGACCCTGCGGAAATTGGATAGGATTTATGTGTCGGCGCCAGGGTGGAGCCTTACTCAGTGGTGCACTGGCGGCAGGGTGCGCGGCTACCCAGAGGTGCTCAGCCGCGCGCGCATCTCTGATCATGCTGCCGTCTCTGCGACCTTTTCTGCCCGATCGTCGACGCCGCCAGGGGGGCAGCCCATCCACCAGGACATCTTTCGGAGACATGAGTACCAGAAATTCATCCAGGACGTTCTCGGACAGGTCGACGACTCCGAGTTGTCTCCCCCCCTCCGCCTCGCAGTCCACAAGGAAATCATGATCGAAGTTGCTGGGCACACTCGCGATCGACTCCTCCGATTTCGACATCACGACCCCCTCTCGAGATGCATCGCCATTCGCACCATCGCTCGAGCTGTATGGGGGCAGAACGTGATGCTGGCCCAGAAGATTATGGCGTCTCACCCGTTAGGCGCGCAGTTTCTGGTCGTCGACCCGCTGGCCGCGCAGGTCTCGATCAATGACCCTGCCAATTTCGCGGCGTTGGCCGCTGAGATCCACGCCGCCATGTTCTCCAGAGCCCAGCCAGAGACAAGGCAGAGGCTCCAGCAGGACAACCCAGAGACCGTTAGGACCAAGCTCAAGAAGCGCCTCCGCAGCCTCATTGCCCGTTCTCGTCTGTGGGCCCCATTTGGTCGAACGCTGCCCTTGCAAGGGATCCGAGACCCCTTTCCTCATCAAGATCAAGAATATCCGGGCCCCCACAATAGAGTTCGTGCAGACCCTGCTGGGGCGCTCTCTAGCCTCTCCGACTACTGGGGCCCGGTTTTCTCCGAGAAAGATGTAGACCGTGCCGCCGCCTTCCAGTGCATCAATCGGTTTAAGCCAGCTGTTGACCTGTCAGGTTTGCCACCTCCTACCGAACGCGATAGAACCCGCTTCCTGGAAAATGTTACCCCGGGCGCTCCAGGACCTGGTCAACTTCCGTACTTTGCTTGGCGCTTCCACCTCAAAGGATCCCAAGTTTTGTATGAAGCGCTCTCCTGGGCCTTGGATGGCAAACCTCTTCTCTTCGGCTTCAATACGATGCTGGGAGCGTTCTTGGCCAAGGGCGACGAGCCTGGCGACGAGGATACAGCGCTCCGAGATGCTGCGGCCACCCGGCCGCCCGGCTTGAAAACCACGGATTGTAAGATCATGACGGCGGTTTGTGTGAAACCTCTGAGTCGGCCCTGCCCGACTTCATCGCAAAGGCCCAGCGGGGCTTCGCCCCCGCGAGGAATTTCGGGATGAACATCATCGAATTGGACACGCAAGCTCGGATCACTTCGATGCTGCCAGATGCGAATGACAGGTTACCCGCCCTGGTATCGTTCGACTACGGACAAGCGTTCCCATCGATCGCCCAGTTTTGGATCTTCCTCACCCTCAAATCGCTCAACATCCCCGCCCCGCTTCGCCTCTTCCTGGAAATGATCTACCAGTTCGTGCTCTGCTACGGGAGGATCGGGAGCGAATGCCGTTACATGTACACAATCCTGTCGGGCATCGTTCAAGGGTGCCCAGCCAGCGGATGTCTCTATGCGATTGCGAGCCACCCGTTCGTCGAGCACTTCGGTTCGTTGATCGAAAAACGAGGACTAGGTATGAGTAGACTATGCGCCGACGATGTAGGAAGTGTAATTCACCAAAGTAAAGTTTTGAGGCAACTATACACTGTCTTCCGGGCGTCAAGGCGGGTGGCTAACTTAGAGCTTACGCACAATAAATGTAAGGCAGTTCCGCTAGCTGGCCCCTTTTCTGAGCCCTTGGCCAGACGGTACCGCGACTGGCTCCAGGTGCATCTGCCCGACTGGGCGGGGTTCCAGGTGGCCCCTCGGCTTTTGTACCTCGGGATTTTCATGGGCCCCTCGGCGGCCCCGTCTCCGCGGGGCGCCCCTGTGGCGAAATGGGCTCAACGTAGTTCGGCCATAGCTTACAACGGCGCTCCCTCGGTCGTTACCGCATTTCAATACTCGCCCCGTGCTCTCAGCTGTTTGGGGTACGTCGCGCAATTCGCTCCGCTTCCCCATTCAGTGATTGCCAAAGAGCACGCGTTGCTGGCGGCCCTCTTTAAGCTTCCCCACTGCGCCCTTCCGAGGCGCGACTACTTTAATCTCGACTCCTGGGGTGGCCCCCGTATCAGGAGTGATCTAGCTGTTTCCTTGGCGTCGCTTATTCGAGCGTCTTTGAGCACGTTCCCTGCATGGCGGCAGCAGTATGACAGACTCCAGGAGGCTGGAGTCTATCTCTCGCTCGAAGACATTGGAAAGGGCCGCATTTCTCCCAGGTTTTGGGAGGGGCCTCCGTTCGTTCAACACCTGCAGGCGGCGTTGCAGGGTATTCCAGCCACCAAATACAGGAATGCAGGATCAGCTGCGCTCCAAGCAGCGCAGCAGGCCATGCTCGAAGGAAAGGAGATTCAGCGTGCTGCCGCCGCTGCTCTGACTTCCTCCCTTTTCCCCTCTGACCTCGCCACGACCTTCGCCCGCCGCCTTTCCCACCTCCTTCCACAGCTCGAGCTCGCTGCGATCCAGCGCGCTCGGTGGCAAGATGTGCAAGCAGCGGTCTGTGCCGCGCCGTCGCCATGGCGCGTGGCCATAGTCAAGTCTCTTGCTGGCGGCTGGACTACAGACTCTAGATCCCAGCAGAAGCAGAAACGTTGCGTGTTCGGATGTGCCAGTAGTGACTGCCAGGCTCATTATTTAATGTGCCCTGTCGCAATTTCAACAGTAGGGAAATTAACTTGCCACCCGCCCCCCGAATACATCCTATCTCGTCTTGGGCTGAGCCCCCCCTCCCCCTCCAACTTCGTGTATCTAGTTGCCTCTTTATACCTGTACACCTTGGCTCGGAACTATCAGCCTCCCCTCTCAGTCGGCGACGTGACGGCGGTACTCCCCCAGCTTCGAGCGTCAGTGCTCCGCTCATGGGACGCCCGCGTGTCCAGTTCTCAGGAGGCCCATCGTTTTGGCTCTCCCCCCGCTCCTGTCCGCCCCTCCCCCGAGGCCCCCGCGTCTGCCGCTGCTGTGCCCCCCCCTTCTCCTCCGCCTGACGCTGCCGTTCATGACCTTCTACGCCGCGGGCAAGGCCCGCCCCGCAATTGCAGTGGCAGTAGCAGTGGATGAGGGAGCTGTCCGCCGTGGTACGAGCGCAGTAGTAGTAGTAGTAGTAGTCGTCGTCGTCGTCGTCGTCGTCGTCGTCGTCGTCGTCGTCGTCGTCGTCGTAGTAGTAGTAGTAGTAGTAGTAGTCGTAGTCGTAGTCGTAGAAGTAGTAGTAGTAGTAGTAGTAGTCGTAGTAGTAGTAGTAGTAGTAGTCGTAGTAGTCGTAGTAGTAGTCGTAGTAGTAGTGTCGTACTAGTAGTAGTAGTAGTAGTAGTAGTAGTAGTAGTAGTAGTAGTAGTAGTAGTAGTAGTAGTAGTAGTCGTACTAGCAGCAGTCGTAGCAGTAGTGATAGTCGTAGTCCTAGTAGGAGTTGTAGTCGTAGCAGTAGGATTAGTAGTAGTAGCAGTAGTAGTAGCAGTAGTAGTAGTGGTAGCAGTAGTGGTAGTAGAAGTAGCAGTAGCAGTAGCAGTAGCAGTAGCAGTAGCAGTAGCAGTAGCAGTAGCAGTAGCAGTAGCAGTAGTAGTAGTAGTAGTAGTAGTAGTAGTAGTAGTAGTAGTAGTAGTAGTAGTAGTAGTAGTAGTAGTAGTAACTGTAGCTGTAGTAGTAGCTGTTGTAGTAGCTGTAGTAGCAATACGTCAGACCAGACGCGGCTAGTCGGCGTGCCCAGAATAAGAGCTGGTTGCTGAGCATCGTGGCGGGCTTTCTTTGGCTACCTGCGCTCGGCGTTTTTCTGCGTGCGATTGCGGTGGCGCACTGCTGGCACGGGAGAAGAAGTACACGTGCAGCTCTCGTATCATTGAAGTTCGGGCGATTGCCAAGATTTCTCTTCCATGTTCGCGCGCCTTCTCCCCCGCGTAGGAAAAAGTGGGCGATGGTGCGCGCCTTGTACGAGGCAGTGGACAGCTACGATGGCGAGTTAGTGACAATATCCCAGATGGGCATAGACTTCAAAGTGGCGCAGCTCAAGAAGGAGCCAGGGCGAGGAGGAGCGGGGGGGAGTCACTTCAAGGTAGCGCAGCGTAAGAGGTAGCTGTGGGCCCAGCCAACCCTTCAATTGAAGGAGGATGTCCCCCTCCACCCTAGTCCCAAGCCTCCCTTCATCAGAGCCCCCCTTCAACCGAGCCTTCCAACACGCTCCCTTCATTAGAGCTTCCCTCCCCTAGCTCCCAGCCTATGTCCCCTTTTTTCCCACCCCTTCCGCTTAACGGCGCTTCGTGTTTCAGACCGACAGCGGCGAGGTTCGTCGACCCTGGCTTTCGAGGAGTCAGCGGGGGCAGATGCGGCGTAAGCAATGCCCTCCTATATATGGCAATGCCAGCGTCCTCTTCCTCCGCAGTGCGCGGAGACAGGAGGAGGATATGGGAAAATTAAGCGGAGAGAGAAAGAATAGGAGCAGGAATGATGATGAGGAAAACCAGGAGGAGGGAGGAGGGTGAGGGGAAGTATGGAGGAGAAGGGAAGAGGGAGAGGGAGGACGCGGAGGTGGAGGAGGAGGGGGACTTCATCTTATATTATCAAACTAAGTGAATGTCCCGCGGGGCTGTGACCGCCCCGCCGCGAGCGACGCCACCCCGAAGTACCTGCGCAGGCGTGGCCGGCGTTGCGTTCCCGTCGTGGCTTGCCCCAGCGTCGGGCGAGCTTCGCAGCCCCCTATCGCCCAGGGGGGCGGTCCCCCCGAAGGTGGAACAGGGCGGTCGGGGTGGAGAAGGAGGGGATGGCGGGGAGGAGGGAGAGGAGGAGATGCGGCAGCGCCTCGCAAGATGGCTCGAGGTAGCGGACCTTTTGTGCCGCCGGTTCCCCTGAGTGGTTCGCCGTGTACGCGAGCACGCGGTCCACCAGGCCAGACCGCGGCGCCCAATCCGCCTGCAGCGCGGCACGGAGCACGTCGGCCCCCGAACATTGGACGGTCAATGTGCCGCCCGGCCGCCTCGCGCTTGTCGGCAGGCCCGCGGCGCCCACTCCCCAGATCGGAGTCAGCAGTCCCGCCTCGCGCACCTGTGGGATAACACGGGATCGCGCCCGCCCAACGCCGCGGTTCCAGGTGCCCTGGACCCAGATGCCTCCGCCGCGTGCCGTGTGCCAGCGCTGTCTGGATTGCAGGCGCGACGGGCGAGCCTGCCAGCAGAGCCAGCAGCCGAGCCCACGCCAATACTTTGCGCTGGGCGATTCTGGCGTGCGCGTCAGCAGCCGGGGATATAGCTCGGGAGACCCAGGAGATCTTTTTGCCGCGTCGTAACGTGCGCTTTAGTTGTACAGCGACCGCAGCCCAGCCGCGTGCACGGCTCGCAAACAGCTCCGTGTCGTAGAGCAGGAAGAGGAGGGAAGGAGAAGGAAGGCGGATGAAGAGGAACAGGAGGATGAGGTCAAAGAGAAGGAAGAGGGAGGAGGCAAGGACCCTACGTTTCAGAACGAGAAGCTCGGTGACATCCTTAAGAGATACGAGGAGGCGTCGCAGCGGAAGCCCTTCCCTTGTGCGATTATGTTATTATCTTAACTGCAAGTGCGCCTTGTGAGCCAAGAGCGCATTCGCTGTGTTTCCCCACCAGCAGCACGAGAGTGAGTGGGCACGACAGGGCATCGTGTACAAACTTATGTCACAGCGAATGGTTTTCAGGGTCTCTGGGGATCGTTACACGTCTTAGTGTATAGCCAGTCTGTCCTTGCGGCGGTTGCGATTGCATACATCTTGGTTCCACGCATGAAGTCGCATTTGTGGTTGGTGACCGTGACTTGAGTCTGCCTTCCCCGCTTGCCGCGGTCTAGCGCGTCGCACGGCCTCTCCAATCGTTGCGTTCGAGCTCACGCCATTGTTGGACGACGATAGGCAATCGGGAATCAGGAGGCAGAGACGCAGGATAATGAGAAGGCGGAGGAAAAGGAGGAGGAGGAGGAGAGGAAGTAGACTGAAGAGAATGAGGTGCCTCTCGGAACAGCACCGAGCGAAGAAGCATACAAGAGGTGGCTCCATGGCAGTGGCGAGTGCCCCCCACCCCGCGTCAGCAATGAGCTTCGGAAGTGCCAGCGTGGATGTGTGCCAGGGACCATCCTTACCTCTTTGAAGGTCACGTTTCTCGGTCAGACCTCCTGACCGTCGTTGCGTTGTCCAGCCCCCTCAGGAAGAAGATGTGTTTGTGATGTGCGATGTGCTTGAAGTTATCAACTTGAGTCCCCTGGTCGTTCTTCGTCGGGACTGGGCCGCACTACCCCTTTCAAAACCAGTGTTTGTCGTGCTTGCACGACCTCCTGGATTTAGCGCTCTAGTGCTACAGTGCTGCTACATAATCAGGAGAAGCAGAAGGAGAAGGATATGAGGAGCAGTAAGCATAGCACGATGGTTGGGGAATGCAAGCGAGGAGCTGACGTTGATGAAGGAGGAGATGGATGAAGGAGGATGAGGATCATTGATAAGGAGGGACATGGAAGAGGAGCATGAGTAGAAGGAGGAGCGGGAGGATTCCGATTGAGCAGGACGGAGGAGGAGAAGGCGGAGGAGGAAGAAAAGACGACGACGAAGCGCGAAGAGGAGGAAGAGGAGAGGACGAGAAGAGGAGAGGAGCAATGATGAATGAGGACGAGGGGATGAATTTGGGCTTTTGGGCAACGAGGGGACGAGGCGGAGCAGGACGAGCAATAAGTAGAGGAAGGGGAGGAAGAAGATTGGAGCAAACCCTAGATGCTCCGACGATGCTGCACCGCCCCCCCCCCCCCCCGTGCCAAGTCGCTTCCCTGTAAGTCATACAACGCCCCATTTCAGTACAGAAGTGTCCCCTGGAATGTCGATCGACAAGTGCGGTTGCCATTAAGGCGAGAGCCCCACTTTGAGAAGATCCCGCATTGCATCCTTTCAGTTTGAGCGAACGCATCAGTATGTTATCAAACAGTTACGCGGGCTGTCCGGGGAGAGCAACTTGTTAAAAACCACGTTTCAGGCGAAAGCCTCGTCATGGAAACATGAACCTCTATATGTTTAAGTGCCACACATATTGAAGGTCTGGATCATCAGGTACAAGGGGGCTGAAAGCGTTAGTGTTACGTTGAGAACGAATCGCCGTACATCCGTGTAGCTGCTGGGACATGATCACCTCTGCTCGACGGTAACGCGGCAGACGCATTTGAAAACGAACCGCATTCCTTCCGCGTGGGTGTTGGAAAGTGTTGAGACGAATGTGCTGGTGCCCCGGCAAAACCTCAAAAGTCTGAAGCCGAACCGCCCCCCGTCTGTGCAGCTACTGGCAATATTTCAAGGCGTGAACGACATTTTGAACATGGATTGGCCTCCACGCAGGCCGCCGTTGAGTTAGTCGAGATTCAGGTCCAGGTTCAGAAGCGCAGAGGGAGTCCTGGCGAAATGCTGGGAGCGCTGTAGACAGAGAAGATGCTTACAAGGAAGGTGGATGGACATGGGAGGAGGGATGGCTGATAGGAAGTGGAGGGCAGAGGGAGGCGAAGGGAAGATGGCGGAGGAAGAGCAGGAAGAGCGAATTAGATGGAGGGATACGTGTTTCCCTAACCATCCTGCGATGCCAGGTCTTCGTTTTGAATCAGCAGCCTTCCTCGTCCTCCCCTCAGTTCCTTGCCCTTAAAAATAACTCCCCCTCTGACGCACCCCGAGGCCGGTCAAAAGGACGGGCCGGGCGGTTTCGCCTGAGAGTTCTTCACCATTTCTGACCTTGAAGCCCCACAGATGTCAACAGCTTCACAGACAAAGGTTTTCAAAACGTGGCTCTCGCCATAGCGCCGCGTACATTCGGTTTGAATTGTTGCCAGAGCTTTACGGATTGAGGGCGGGTGGTTCTCAAAATGCGATTCGTGCCATGGGTTGCGCACATTTGTTTTTAGTAGTTGCTAGGGTTTCACGGGTTGACGGCAGGCCGTTTTCAAAATGTGGTTTTCGCCATAGCGCCGCGCACATTCGGTTTTAATTGATGGCAGAGCTTTACGGATAGAGGGTGGGTGATTTTCAAAATGCGGTTCGCGCCATGGGTTGCGCACGTTCGTTTCCAATGTTTGTTAGATTTTCACGGATTGAGGGCGGGCCGTTTTCAAAATGTTGCTCTCGTCATAGCGCCGCGCACATTCGTGTTTCACAGTTTCAAGAGTTTGACGTATTGAGGGCGGGTGGTTTTCAAACTGTTGTTCTCTCCATAGCGCCGCGCACAAACGTTTTTTTCATAGTTGCCAGAGCTTTACGGGTTGAGGGTGGGTTGTTTTCAAAATGTGGTTCTCGCCATGGGCCGCGCACATTCTTTTTTACTATTCGCAAGAGTTTCACGCATTGAGTGCGGGCCGTTTTCAAAATTTGGTTCTAGCCCTAGCGCCGCGCATACCCGTCTTAAAAAATTGCAAGGGTTTCGCGGATTGAGGGCGGGTGGTTTCCAACATGTGGTTCGCGCCTTAGCGCCGCGCACATTGGTTCTGAAACATTGCAAGAGTTTCACGGTCTCTTTTAGTAAACCTACCAGGAATAATTTTGTGGAGCGATTCGTGATTGCCAGGGCGCAACAGTGACGCTGATTCGCGTTATTGAAGTCCCAGGACAGGCGCCCCAACACGATTCAAACTCGTCAACACGCAACAGTCAGGTTGATTCGCGGCATTGAAGGTCAGATAATGGTGTTGCGGCTTGCTTCAGGATCTTCAAACAATTGTCTCCCAACGGGGCATGTCCCCCAGTGGAAATGAACCTTTGTAGGGGCCTATGACAAGGGAACTTGAGGGGAGGGTTTATTCCAACATCGTTGGTGAATATTGAATTTGCATTGGTTCTCTCCTCCTCCCCCTCGTCCCATACCTGCATTTGTCCTCCGCACGACCATGTCGGCACATCCATCGACGCTTCGTGGCCCCAGGCCCCAGAGGCACCGTCCACATGTTGGCGTCACACCTGTTTCGGCATACCCCCCACGCGCCTCGGGGCACCATAAGAAGTTCCGCGTAAAGCCACAGTGGCACCGTCCACATGGTTGCGTCGCACCCGATTCGGCACACCACTCACACGTTTCGTTGCCCCATAGGGAGCTTCACGTACGGTCCCAGTGGCACCGTCCACATGATAGCGTCACACCCGTGTCGGCACACCCCTCTCCAAGATCGTGGCCACAAAGGAAGTTCCACCGAAGACCCCAGTGATAGGGTCCGCATGCGTCCCCCCAAGCCATTCCAGCACACCCATCGCAAAGATCGTGGTTCCATAGAGAGCTCCACCGACGGCCCCTGTGGCAGTGTTCGCATACTTCCCCCCGCCCGTTTGACCCCCTCACGAGGATCGTAGCCCCGTAGGGAGCTCCACCGAATGCCCCAGCGGCAGAATCCGCATGCATCCTCCCGCCCATTTCAGCACACCCCTCACGAGGGTCGTGACCCCTAAAAGGAGCTCCGCCGAAGGCCGCAGTGGCAGAGTCCGGATGCGCCCCCCGCCCATTTCGGCACACCCCTCACGAGGATCGTGGCCTAGAGGGAGCTCCACCGAAGCCCCAGCGGCAAGGTTTGCACGCGCCGCCTTCGCCAGCATATGCGTCTCAGTCCGTCCTATAGTTCGTCCTCATTCTTCTTCTCGCTTGCTTCGCGGCACTCGCAGCTGCACATGCTTGGGCCTTTCGACTGGAACATGTTTGAGAGTATGAGTAGGATCAGGCCGAGATTGTAGGAGTCAAGGTAGACGGCTGGAAAGAGTCAGCGGATTCTAGCTCCTACAGTATCTTACAGGTGGACTCCTAATTTACGCCCGTTGCAGGTGTTCGAGGTGATAGTTGACAGCACCAGAGGAATGTTAGCCAGGCGCGCTGGAATCTTGTTAAGCTGAGGGTGATGAGGAGGAGGACGACGACGACAACCAGGAGATGGAGAGACGGAGGAGGAGGATACCGAGAAGGAGGAGAAGGAGGTCGAGGAGGCGGAGGGCGCGGAGGAGGCCGAGGATAGGGAGGTTGGGGAAGAGGGGGAGGAGGGAGGAGCAAGAGAAGGAGAAGTAGGACTGGAGGGAGGAGGAATTGACGTTGAGGCAAAGGTAGAGACATGACATGTATACTTACTGGCATTCCGTGGCGTGTGGCGAAGTTTCCGACAGAGGTGTTCTAATTTGCCATCAAATGAAGGATGCGGTCATTTGGAGAGGTATAAGCCGCGTTTTGATACAGATCTGTTTGCAGACGAGGCGCCGTTTGGGGCCAGCGTTTCTCGTCCAACCCAGTCAGCTCTTGGCAGACACTTGCATTTAAGCGCGCTCAGCCTCCCCCTTCCCCTCCTCCACTTTCCCGATCCCCTTCAACGACTGCAGTCCACAGCGGTTACACCACCCCGTCCTCATCAACCCCCCATCGCCTCCTTCGCCTATAGTCTCTGTGTTTACGCGTGCTTATCTGCGCATGGCCTTTTTCCCTCTTGACAGTCATCGTCGACATTACGGGCAGGCGGGACACGCCTCGGAGTCCGGGATGCAACGGCCTCCCCCTTCCCCGCCCTTCGTCCTCCCTCTTCTTCCCTCCCCCTCATCCTGACATCGCGGTCATCTGCCTGACTGACCACAAGGTGGTGGGGTTCTCAGTCTACCAATTCGTTGCCTTTGCAAAATGGAAACGAGCGCATTTCAAGATCGCCCACTGGCCATTTTTAATCCTCCCTCTTTGAATCATCGCCCCTTCTCTCGGAGTTTCTACCCTGGGGGCCGAAGTGGCGATCCTCCGTTCGCAAAGCTGCCCACCACTGGAAGGCAACGCGCCCCAAGCAGTGCGTTGTAGGGTAGTGCGATCCTTGATTGCCTTCCCCCCACAAGTATTCACATCCATTGACTCCCTCCCCTCTCGTCAGCCAAACACCGTAGCGTTCAGCCGGTTTGCCAGGGTGCTGAGTGTTGCGAGGTCGCGATCCCTTTGATTGTGGATTCGGGCGTGCACTAGCCAAGGTGCAGTGCAACAAAAAAACTCCGTGCAGTCGAAAGTCCCATCTCCCTCTCCTGCCAACCTTCTCGCTCCTTCTCACCTTCCCCTCTTCCTCGATTAGTGCATTGCTGTCTCATACTGTTCCCTCTCTGCTTGGGCACCCGCGCACCATGCAGAACCGGCGAATGAGGCGCATAGCATTCCAATAACCCATTGCACCACCAGCCTGCTTTCGTTGGCCTTTTGCGCCGCAGCAATAGAGCGATCGACCCAGCCATGCGTAACGGACGAAGCATTGGCGTGAGTCGCCTGCAACGCATCAGTTGATATCATATACATCACTGTTCAGATGCTATCGGGGCCCCTTTCGCCAAGTACAAGAAAACACATATGTTTCTTCTGCCTCCCTTGTCTCCTCATCCTTCTCCCTTCCCCTTCTGCAATGCCCCTGCTCCTGGAGAGGATGGCTCCCTGTTTTCATTGTTCGTCCTTATGAGTAACTGGACCGATATATAGAACGACGCTTGTATTGATAGTGATATCGCTTTATCTATATATTGAGATCGATAGATAGATGGTGGGATCTAGACGTAGATAAGTCGTGGGATCGGTAGTTAGTTTATCCCGATGGTTGTTAGGATGATTGCCCCGAAAGTTGATCGGTTGATTCGTTGATAATGAGATCGACTGAATGATGTTGAGGCCGATTGATATATCGTCAAATAGAGTGGTAGTGACTGTTAGCCAGCGCGGGCCCCAGGCATGTTTTTTTTTAATGATTGACGCTTCGCGTATCCCCACCGCCTGACCCGACTCCGACTGCGACGCCAGCGCCGACGACGGAGCTGTTTACGACGTCTGATCCGTCTCCGACTACGACGCCAGCGCCGACGTCAGAGCCGACTGCCTGGTCCGGCTCCGACTGCGACGCCAGCGCCGACGACGGAGCCGACGGCGACGCCTGATCCGACTCCGACTGCGACGCCAGCGCCGACGACGGATCCGACGGCGCCGCCTGATCCGGCTTCGACTGCGACGCCAGCGCCGACGACGGAGCCGACGGCGACGCCCAATCCGACTCCGACATGCTCAGTCTGCGTGCCGCAGGGGTTGGTGTGCGGAGACGTCGGCTGCGGTGACTCGTGCGGCCTGCGCACGTCGCCAGAGTACTGCACGGGCAGCGTGGCAGGTGTGGTACTGCGACGCCAGCGCCGACAACGGAGCCGTTGTCGACGCATGATCCGAATCTGACTGCGACGCCTGCGCCGACGACTGAGCCGATTGCCTGATCAGGCTCCGTCTGCGACGCCAGCGCCGACGTCGGATCCGACGGCGACGCCTTTTCCGACCCCGACTGCGACGCCAGCGCCGACGACGGAGCCGACTGCGTCGCCTGATCCGGCTTCGACTGCGACGCCAGCGCCGTCGACGGAGCCGACGGCGACGCCCACGAAGTGGGCCTTGGTTGAAGATGTGGCAGTGCTTTGGTCCAGTCCGGGCGTGGAGGCCCTGGGCGCGGCGGTCGTGCCAACGGCACTTGGTTGAACCCCCCACGTTCATTCACAAGTCTCTGCGGCTCTTGGCTGCGCCCCCAGCGTTGTGAAGGGACATCATAACTGGGGAACTGACAGGTTCAGCCATCCCCGCGGGACACAATGGCATTGGTCCGGTCCAAGTGTGGAGGCCCTGGGCACGGCGGCCGTGCAACGGCACTCGTTTGTATCCCCCACGTTCATTCACAAGTCTCTGCGGCTCTTGGCTGCGCCCCCAGCGTTGTGAAGGGACATCATAACGGGGAGCCGACAGTATCAGCCATCCCCGCGGGACACAACGGCCTACATCTCGCCTCCAGCCGTGCTGGCGGACAAGTGGGTGCTCATCTCGGCGCTCAGGGCCCGCCTGCGCTAGACACCACGGCAGTGACTTCCCCCAGACCCTCGGGACGGATATGGCGTGGTGCATCGGCTGGTAGCCAGCTGATACCCCCGAACCGCGTGAGTCGGATACGTTGTCAACGCACTGGCAATAGGCTGGAGGTGGCATTCACCAGTTTCTGCCGCTCTTGGCTGCGCCCCCAACGAAGTGTGCCTTGGTTGAGGATGCGCCAGTGCCTTGGCCCGGTCCAAGCGTGGAGGCCCAGGGCATTGTGGTTGTGCCAACGGCACTTGGTTGCACCCCCCACGTTCATTCTCAGTCTCTGCGGCTCTTGGCTGCGCCCCCAGCGTTGTGAAGGGACATCGCTGCGACGCCAGCGCCGACGGCGGAGCCGACGGCGACGCCCAATCCGACTCCGACATGCTCAGTCCGCGCGTCGCAGGGGCTCGTGTGCGGAGTTGACGGATGCGGTTGCTCGCGCGGCCAGTGCCCGTCGCCAGAGTACTGCGCGGACAGCGTGGCAGGTGCGGTTGGGTGCAGCAGTCAGCCATACACTCGGTGTCTCGGTGTTTCGCTTCGTCAAGCGAGTGACCCTGCGTTGAGTGGTTCAGCCTTCTGCAGTTCGTGGTCGCTCTCTTCTGAACAGCCCTCGCCAGCACTTTGCATCGTTGTGCCCCCAACTGCGAGTCGGATACGATGCGCATGCACTGGCTACCGGCTGGAGGTGGCTCAGCCTCGTGAGCGCACGCCAGTGGTCTTTTCTTTACCGGATGGCGCTCTGACGTGGTCTAGCCACACCTCTGCAAGGGACGGGCCTGTCAAGGGCGTGTTCCTGCGCGAGTGGTTCATCCTTCGGCAGGTCATGGCTGGTCCCCCACCTGGCCCATCTTGCAGGTGCCTCGGTCAACGCTTGCAACTTTGTGCCCCCGATCTTCCAGCGTCGGATAAGTTGCGCACGCAACGGCCACAGGCTGGAAGAGCGGCAGACTTGACGTCTGCGATAGTGAGTCACCGCGAGTGAGGCTCCCCTCTGTACCTTTCCTTTTCCTGACGCCGGGTGCCCGTCTGGCGTCCGTTGCGTCTCTTGTTCCATCTTGCCTCACCTTCGGTTTGCGCTGGCTGGAGTTTGGTCTCGTCTTGGCCACCCCGTTCCGTTGCAGCGCGGCGTGCTCCGCGCCTTTTCGCGCTGTACTGTTCAGCTGGGGCTTGGCGCCGCGAGGGCGACTGCTCTTATCCGTCCGCCGCCGGTGCCGTGCTTGCGCCCCCATCCGCTGGGCTGCCTGCGTCGGTCCCCAATGAGGGTCACTTTGCCCCTGGCATGTGCACTCGCTTCAGCGGCCTACGTGCCTCTGCGGCCAATTATCTCGCTCTGCGCCCCAAACGTCAATCCCGCTTCCTGGATCTGCCCTTGGAGCCGCCAATCAAAAAGTACCCCCGCCACCAGGACGACGCGACTCCACCCCTGACCGGCCTGACACCAGTCGGTGCGGCCTGACGCCAGCCGGTGCGATCACATCCTCAGCATCCTATCTTTTCTCCCACCGCCCGCGCGCCCCCCTGAGTCACCGCGATGTCGATGCCTACATCGAGCAGCGAACGACAAATTTGGGACGGGATCAGCCTCTCCCCTGGCACTGGCAAGGCACGTTCGTTGTGTGGACCCAGTGTCCGACGACGCCTGGACCAGTCGTTCTTCCCAGGAGGGCCCCAATCCGGACGGCTGAACTGACAGCGCCTGGGGGCAACGACTGGCCTGTACATACATCCGTTAGCTATACACAGGCACGCGCACCGACGGCGGATTCCCGCCCGGCACCATTTGGGGCGGCAAGAGATGGACTGCCGTGTGCCTGGTACGTCGTTTCACCAAAAGGACGATAATAGGACAATCCTGGAGCCTCCGTGCCCACAGGGGCGCCGCGCTCAAGAACGCCGATCCTGCCCACCACAGCATTAGCACCCTAGTGGGCGGGTTTGCAAGCCTCGAATCTGACCTGCTAACTGACGACGTCCTGTTGGATTGGG